AGACAAATGAGATGGTCTGGTACTCCCATCTCTTTAAGAACTTGCCACAATTTGTTGTGATCCACACAATCAAAGGCTTTAGCATAGTCAATGAAGCAGAAGTAGATGTTTTTCTGGAACTCCCTAGCTTTCTCCATGATCCAGTGTATGTTGGCAATTTGATCTCTAGTTCCTCTGCCTCTTTGAAATTCTGCCTGTACTTCTAGAAGTTCTCGATCCACATACTGCTGGAGTCTAGCTTGTAGGATTTTAAGCATAACTTTACTTGCATGTGAAATGAGTGCAATGATGCAATAGTTTGAACATTCTCTGGCATTGCCTTTCTTTGGAATTGGAATGTAAACTGACCTTTTCCAATCCCGTGGCTACTGTTGAGTTTTCCAAATTTGCTGACAAATTGAGTGTAGCACTTTTACTGCATCGTCTTTTAAGATTTTGAATAGCTCAGCTGGAATACTGTCACCTCCACTAGCTTTGTTGTTGCTCAGCTTTCCTAAGGCCCACTTCACTTCACATTCTAGGATGTCTGGTTCGAGGTCAGTGACCACCCCATTGTGGTTATCAGGGACACTAAGCTCGTTCTTGTATAGTTCTTCTGTGTAATTTTGCCACCTCTTCTTAATCTCTTCTGCCTCTGTTAGGTCATGCCCATCTTTGCATAAAACGTTCCCTTCGTATCTCCAATTTTCTTGAAGAGATCTCTGGTTCTTTCTATTCTATTGTTTTCTTCTATTTTTTTTTTGCATGAAGAGGGCATTCTTTTCTCTTCTAGCTATTCTCTGGAATTCTGCATTAGTTGGGTGTATCTTTCTCTTTCTCCCTTGCCTTTCGCTTCCCTTGTTTCCTCAGCTATTTGCAAAGCTTCCTCAGACAGACATTTTGCTTTCTTGCATTTCTTTTTCTTTGGGATGGTTTTAGTTGCTACCTCTTGTACAGTGTTGCAAACCTCCATCCATAATTCTTCAGGCACTCTATCAGATCTAATTCCTTAAATTTATTTGTCATCTCTACTGTATATTCATCAGGGATATGATTTAGTTCATACCTGAGTGGCCTAGTGTTTTTCCCTACTTTCTTCAATTTAAGCCTAAACTTTGCAACGAGAAGCTCATGATCTGAGCCACAGTCAGCTCCTGGTCTTGTTTTTACTGACTGTATAGAGTTTCTCCATCTTTGGCTGCAGAGCACATGGTCAATCTGATTTCTGTGTTGACCGTCTGGTGATGTCCACGTGTAGAGCCGTCTCTTGGGTTGTTGGAAAAGAGTGTTTGCTATAACCATCATATTCTCTTGACAAAATTATATCAGCCTGTGCCCTGCTTCATTTTTGTACTCTAAGGCCAAACTTGCCTGTTATTCCAGTTATCTTTTGGCTTCCTACTTTAGCATTCTAATCCCCCATGATGATAAGAACATCATTTTTTGGTGTTGATTCTATAAGGTGCTGTAGGGCTTCATAGAACCAGCCAATTTCATTCTCTTCAGCACCAGTAGTTGGGGCATAGACTTGGACTACTGTGATATTGAATGGTTTGCCTTGGATTCGCACTGAGATCATTCTGTCATTTTGGGGATTGTATCCCAGTATTGCTTTTCCTACTCTTTTATTGACCATGAAGGCTACTCCATTTCTTCTGAGGGATTCTTGCCCACAGTAGTATATCTGATGGTCCTCTGAATTAAATTCACCCATTCCTGTCCATTTTAGTTCGCTGATTCGTAAGATGTCGATGTTCAGTCTTGTCATCTCTTGTTTGACCACATCCAGTTTGCCTTGATTCATGGATCTTACATTCCATGTTCCTATGGAGAAAAGATCTTTACAGCATCGGACTTTCCTTTCACCACCAGATGCATCCACAGATGAGCGTCCTTTCGGCTTTGGCCCAGTCGCTTCACTCTTTGTGGCGCTACTAGTACTAGCCCTCTGCTCTTCCCCAGTAGCATATTGAACACCTTCCGACCTGAGGGGCTCATCTTCCAGCGTCGTATCGTTTTGCCTTTTGGTACTGTCCATAGGGTTTTCATGGCAAAGATACTGGAGTGGGTTGCCATTTCCTTCTCCAGTGGATCACATTTTGTCAGAACTCTTTGCTATGACCTGTCTGTCTTGGGTGGCCCTGCACGGCATAGCTCATAGCTTCATTGAGTTGCGCAAGACCTTTTGCCACGACAAGGCAGTAATCCATGAAGGAGCCGTTTTCCTTACATTTGTTAAATGAATCACTGTAGTTGTTAAATTAGTAACACCATTATGTTAATCTGATTTCCCCACTGACTTTGCTTGTCAGGTTGCAAAAGCTGATCACATGACCCTGGGGCATTGTAACTATCATAAATGTGAGTCAGTTGTCAAATATCCAAATGCAAATCATGTGACCGTGGGGATGCTGTAATGGTGGTGTGAAAAATGGTCATGTCACTTTCTTCACTGCCATTGTAACTTTGAACAGTCACTAAGTGAATTGTTGTAAGCTGATGACTAGCTATACTTAGAGAAAGCACTTTTGTAATTGTTGCACAAATAATTGTAGTAATGATTTTCAAGTTTGTCTAGTTCTCCTTTGGTCCTAATTGTTCTACATCCAATGTCTCAAAGCTCTTTTTACAGCCGGAGATCAAATGAGTTTATAGCAACTATCACTGCCCCCTCCAGATATAGCCTAAGAAGGTAAAGTATCTCAGCAGTTTCTCATAGGTATCTTGCTGCTTCTTTCACAGGTGATGACAAAGTGGTGGAATGAAGAATTGCTGTTCCAGATAGGCCTGAAACTGGAGCAATTTCGTGGTACAATGGTTAAACCAATAATTTACTATGATATTCTGAGATAATATGGCTAGCTTCAAAATTCCCTAACACTTCCAGTTCCAATACAGTTGTCTGTTTAGAATATGAATGGCTTAAAGGAAGAGTTAGAAATGTTTTCAGGACAGATTCACTAGCTCCCATAAAAAATGCAGAGAAAATTAAATTGAAAAGAAACGGTAACTTACTAAAGGATGTAGAGTTCTATAGGTGTTTGCAGTGTTTACAATTTATACTGATATCAATTGTTTATAAACATCCAGATGCTGCAGATTTTTGGAATGGAGCAGATTCTATTTAGATACAATTTGTTTGAACGCACGTTAAATACTGTATGTGACATTTGCATTCAGGGTGTGTGTGTGTGTGTGTATAAAATAGCATAGTATTATTCTTGGTATGTTTCTTGCATGGAAAATAGACTTTCTTAGAAAGGGTGATGGGCATTTACAGATTTTTTTAAAAAACCCAACTCTGACAAAACTAACAATATATACCCTCTAATGATATCACACAACTGTATTTCTTTATAGTTCAGCAGAACATTAATTTCTTGCATCATAATGAAAGGAAAACATTTTACCAGTTCCTATAGGCTTGTGCATCTGTGTTCCTTTTCAAAGTGACAAAAAGCAATTGATTCAGAAAATATGATGGAAAATATTGAGAATACTGAGCTTATTGGCAATATTGAAAATATTGCCATCAATAATATAATATTACATGCAATGGATTTGTTCACTTATCCCAGAGTTTGAGATAAAGTTAATATTCAGAAAATTCTGGAAAGTGTCATTTCTTTTCCTGATCATGTGAATGTGGCCATTCTCAGGATTGGTGTGTCAGTTTTCCAAAGATTAATATTTTAAATTTGAAGTTTGGACATGCCTCAAAATTGTACTTAAGAAACCACTGTAAATAACATACACATTATCATTCTGAATCAAGCTAGCATTAGGGCAAACAATACTGAAGATATGATAAATTTTTCAGAAATAATCTTAGGATAGTTGCAAGTGCTGTCATAATAATCATCAGATTAGACTGACTTTTGGTTTTGAAGTTATCGGTGTATTGAAATGGGAGAATTCAAACCCTGGGTTGGATCTGGCACCACATTTTTAGTAGATGTTTACACTGAAAGGAGCATTTTTTTTAAAGAAAGAAGCATTTTTTTTCAGCCTTACCTTACACAATAGGCTGTTTTCAATGGACAGGAGGAGGGAGTACAAAGATAGTGGAGGTTTCCTTGAATTTAGGAGTGGTGGTCTCAAATTAATGTTAAATTGAACAATATGAGGGAGTAAGCCTCTGTAAGCAAGCAACTATTTTCCTTTATCGATTCCTTTGTAAATGTTCACAAAATTTGTGACTATCAGATTGAAAGTTACAATTCTGTCCTCCTTAATATATTGTTAATATTGTAAGAGAAAGACTGGTTTCCTAGAAAAGCCTTTCTGTTCTTCAACCTAAATAAAGTATTCTAGTATAAGGTAAATATAAAGCCCTTAGTTTATAGGTAGTCTTCAACTTACAACAGTTCATTTGTAACCGTTCAAAGTTAAAATAGCACTGAAAAAAGTGACATGACAATTTTTTCACACTTATGAATGCTGCAATACCTCCACAGTCACATTATCAAAATTTGGATGCTTGGCAATTGACTCATATTTATCATGGTTGCAGTCCTGGGATCATGTGATCACCTTTTGTGATCTTACAAGAAAAGTCAATGGGGAAGTAAGATTAATTTAAGAAGTGTTTTACTAATTTAACAACTGCAGATTCACTTAATAACAATGGCATAAAAGGCTGTAAAATGAGGCAAAATTCACTTAACAAATGCTTCACTTAGCAACAAAAAAATTTGGGCTCAATTGTGGTCGTACGTTGAGGACTACCTGAATTTATCTTTGCAAAAACTGTCAAAATCAAACATGGCATAGACTAATCCAATAAACAGGAAAAATGGAAACCATTCTCCCTGCAAGGTTTAGTTTTGTGTGTGTGTGTGTGTGTGTGTGTGTGTGTGTGTGTGTGTGTGTGTATTATGGAGAAAAATCATTCTTCATTATGGTCAAATTTCGTAATACTACTGGGACAAGGGCACCCAAAAAGGATTCTCAATCTCTTACAACATTATTTTTCCTGTTTTTTATGTATTTTAAATGGTATTTCTGTAGTTTTTTTTTTTTGTTTGTTTGTGCATGTGGGTTTTATTTTGCTACTAAACATTTTGTCATAATGCAGTATGGCCAAGAATATACCCCAGAAAAACAAGCAATATCTATAAGTAGGAAGTAAAAGTAATCATGTTTGTGATTATCACGCTTGTAATTCCATTAGAGAAAATAAATAAAATTAAGATTTTGCATACATAAACTACTACAGAGGACTTAATCCTCATTCCCAATTTGTCTATATTCTTTTCACTTTATAAAAAAAATGATAAGGTGCTTAATTTTGCTCTGCAATTCTATAGAGCTCATATTTTCTCCTGTGTACCCTGTCTAATCATTTTGTATAGTATTTTAAACAGAGACCTATAAAAAAATATTCATTAAAGCAAGGGAGAGGTAACTATTATGTGGTAGAACGTCTAGCCGGCATTCCATGACAGGTTATCTGATCCAGACTGTAAAATCTTGAGGTAAGAGCGTTATCCAGTTTTGTGTTGCCATCTAGTAGCCATCTAGATGTGTGCTGTTCACATTTGGTAACTCTTAATTCACAGAATGTTTTACAAAACAGCTGTTATGATTAGTCACAAAACATTCAGATCCCAGAACAAGTACTTGATTTATCCTTATTTCTGGGCCTATGGATATACGTTCAAAAAGAGGGACTAAGCTTTCTTTCTAAGATGCCTTAAGAGCTCTGAACATTCCTAGATGTTACTCAAGTCTAGTAGTTTGCAGAGGCCAGCCTCATTTAATTCCTTTTAATTAAAAACACTGCCAAAGAAGATGACCATGAACCCTAGTTGGATTACTCTGTTGCAAAACAAAGTATTGAAAACTTTGAGGATGCAGTTTAACATTGAAATGGTGGTTACTCCAACACTGGCAGATTTAAGAAGAGATTGGACAACCATTTGTCTGAAATAATACAGGGCCTTCTGCTTGAACAGGGGATTGGACTAGAAGACCTCCAAGATCCTTTCCAACGTTATTCTGATAAATAGCAATATAAAAGGTGTGCTAAATTAGTTTATCTTTCTTCCTTGCCTGCTAAGGAATCCCATGCAAGCTGGACATCACTTTGAGAATGTAGTTTAATAATGTGCAAAAACAATGATTTTGCCTATTGCATCATGTGATGTTGAATACTATTTTATTTTATTACTCTATGCTGCTTGAAGGTGTTACTAAAATTATTCTTTAAATGTGAGGGGGCTGGAGTTTTCTATCATGTAAAGAAGTTTAAAACAAACTGAAGCACACCATTACCATTTTAATGCTTTAAATATAAAACTTTTGGCAAGGGTTTTTGATAGCATGACCTTTTAAAAAGTTAGTGACCTTAAAATGGGACCCAGGAAGCTGCCCATGTCTTGTCCACAATAACTGTAAGCAATGGCCACCTTTGGCTAGATGTATAGCAAATAGGCAAGTCCTATATGTAAAACTGAGTTTTATGATGGCTAACCTGCATGCACAGTAAATAGAGGGACCACACATACAAAGCTCTTGCTTCACATAGATATATGTTGATATACAGTATAAACACAATGATGTCTTTATATAAAATAACCTTGTTTATAAAGCGACATTTAACTGCCACTTGGCCCTTCCCTACCCCACAAAAAACAGTAGTATACAAAATATAAAATATTTTTTTAAATATTTATAAACAGTTGCAAGGAAAAAAATATAACTGTATGAAAATATCCTTCCCTTCCTCAGATGTCTAATGGGCTTTTAACCCATAGCTGTTGAGTGGATAAGAATAGGCCTTGCCCAATACTATTCGGTCCCTCAGAAGTTTAAATAGGACATAATAGTTGCAGAAGAGTATCAGGGCCACGGAGAGTGTATGGTTCCACTTCTCTGAGCGAAGCAAGGAGTAGAGTTGATAACAGACCACACTGCCTTCTATGAGAATCAGCAGATTGAGAAGCCGTAAGGGATGGTGGAAGAGGAACTAGAAAAGGAAACAAAATGTATGTTTATAGAACTTATTAGCAGCATTATCTCTGAATAGCAAGGAAGAGCCACAATTTATTAACAAGATTCCTCCAACCTATGCTAGTTATTAATGAACTGTTGTAAAAGAACAAAATCTTTTAATCTCATGGTAGGAAGTATTTTATTCCCAGACCCTCAATAATCCGCTATATACTTACATAAAAGCGAGCATGAGACACATCTGAAGGCACAGCTACATTATAAGGTCCCACTGCTTTATATAAGCATCGACTATGTCGTACCAGCACTCCTTGTGGCCATATTGTGCTCTCAGACCAGCTATGGACAAAGAAAAAGATTTCATTATTACCAGAAAGCAAAACCAGATGAATAATTTCATTAAATAAATGTAGATGCCTTTTATATGCCTTATATTTAAACTTTTCTAGTTTTTTTTTATTAAAAAGTTTTTATTTTCCATTTATTCATACAAAATGCAATTAAATTCCTAACCATTGGTACTGCCTGCCCATTCCCCCCAGGCTGCGTCCACCCTCTCTAACCTTCCCCACATCCCTCCTCTTTCTCTCCTCCCCTCCTACTCTCTTCCCCTCCCCTTCTCCTCTAACCATCCTACTTCCTCCCTACTCCTTCCTCCCCTCTCATCCCTCTCACACACATGAATGCAGCATAGGGGAAATGCCCAAGCGTTTACCATGACTATATTATCATTACCCACCCACCCTCAACCCTCCCCCCCCCCCGCTTCCCAGAGCAGAGTACAGGGTTATTATTAAGAAAGTTAACAATAATAAGAAAAGAAAAGAAAAGAAAAAAAGAAAAAAGAAAAAAAGAGAAGAAAAAACATCATACTTAACCTTTAACTCCCCTTAAATTAAGTCATATAAACAAATCTCTACAACAGTTACTATAAAATTTACTCATAAAATAAATGAAACTTTATAGTCCCATATTTTTTCTGAATATAATCTATCCATCTTCTCCATACAATAATATATCTTTCTTGTGTATGATCCTTCAAATAAGCAGAAATTTTTGCCATTTCTGCAAAGTTAGAAACTTTAAATATCCATTCTTCTAAAGTAGGCAACGAGTCCTTCTTCCAATAGGAGCCTACTAATAACCTTGTTGCAGTTAATAAATTCAACACTAAAGTAGTTTCTTTGTCATTTAAATCCACAAAAATAATTGAGGGGTGAACTTTATCTTCCTTTTAAAAATCTTTTGAATGTTCCACCAAATCATAATCCAAAAAGCCTTTACCTTTTTACAATTCCACCAAACATGAAAATATGTCGCATCCATATTACCACATCTCCAACATTTGGGTTGTAAATTTGGATACATACAAGATAATTTTTTAGGATCTAAATGCCATCTGTAAAACATTTTATAAAAATTTTCCCTCAAATTTTGAGCTTGTGTAAATCTAACATTTCTAATCCAAATTGTCTCCCATAAGTCCAGTGGGATCGGATTCTGGATATTCTGAGCCCATTTAATCATACACTCTTTAACCAATTCTGTTTCAGAGTCTAATTCTATTAAAGCATTGTAAATTCTTTTTATATGGACCTCACTCTGATCTTTAATCTGAATAACAGATTTCCATCTTCTAGTGTTATTCCTTTTTTTATCTACAGTCCACCTGTCCACTATTTGTAAATATTGAAACCATGACTGTAGAATATTTTCTTGCCTTAATACATCTAGAGATTTTAAATGCCAATCCGAACCTGACCAAGTTAATAATTCTTTATACGAAATTTTATCAAAATTCATCCCCTTAGAAATCCCCTCAATTGCATGTCTAGGAATCCCCCAGATAGGTATTTTATAGTTTAACCTATAATAATACTTTTTCCAAACTCGAAGTAAGGCACTCCTCAAAATATGTGATTTGAAAGCCCGGTCCACTTTCTTATTAAAAATTAAATATGCATGCCAACCATACATTAAATCCCACCTTCAAGAACAAGAATATCCTTATTTGTTAAATTAAGCCAATCACTTATCCAAATTAAGGCGGCTGCATCATAGTATAATTTCAAGTTAGATGCTTTAAGTCCTCCTCTTTCTCGGGCATCTTGCAAAATCTTAAACTTAACCCTTGGTTTTTTCCCAGCCCAAATGAATTTATTGATACCCTTCTGCCATTCCTCCAAATTTACATCTTTTTTTAAAATAGGTATCATCTGAAACAAGAAAAGAAACTTTGGTAGAACATTCATTTTTACAGCTGAAATTCTCCCCAGCAATGACAATTGCTGTTTTTTCCAGTCATTTAAATCCTTTTGCACTTTTGCCCATAGTAATTCATAATTATTTTTATACAATTTTCCATTTGAGGCAGTTAAATATACTCCCAGATATTTAACCTTTTTCACCATCTGAAAACCTGTGGCTTTAACCAAACTTTCCTTGTCATTGGCTAACATATTCTTAGATAATATCTTAATCTTATGGTTATTGACTTTAAAACCAGAAACTTTTCCATACTGTGTTATAAGTTCTAATAGACAATCAACCGCTCTAATCGGTTGTTCCAAAATCAAAACCAAATCATCCGCAAAAGCCCGTAATTTATACTCATTTTTTCTCATCTTTATACCCTTGATTACCGTTGATTCCTGAATCTGGATCAACAAAATCTCCAATGTCAAAACAAATAACAATGGAGATAATGGACATCCTTGTCTTGTCCCTTTTTCAATATTAAAAGTCTCAGTCAATCCCCCATTAACAACAATTTGAGCAGATTGTTGCTGATATATAGCTTTAAGTGCATGTAAAAAATTATCCCCAAAATTCATTTTCTCTACCAGTGAGAATAAGAATTGCCAATCTAATTGATCAAAGGCTTTTTCAGCATCCAAAAATATAAAAGCCACAGGAATCTGATTGTTCTTATCCAAATACTCAATTAAGTTAATAATTTGTCTAACATTATATTTCATGTATCGCCCTGTTATGAATCCTGATTGATCACTGTGAATCAAATCCTTCATAACCTGCATTAATCTATTTGCCAAATTTTTTGTAAAAATCTTGTAATCTACATTTAATAATGATATCGGCCTATAATTCTTAGGCTCTGTAAGATCTTGATCCTCCTTCGGAATCAATGATATAAACACTCTTTTCCAAGAAGGAGGAACTTGTGCTCCCAGCAAGATACTATTAAAAACTCCTTTAATGGCTCCAACATTTCTTCATATAAATTTTTATAATACGTCGACGTCAATCCATCTGTTCCTAGAGACTTTCCCACCTTTAACTGCTTGATAGCTAAACCAATTTCCTCCACAGTAATTAAACAATTCATCCCATTTTGCTGTTCCTCAGAAAGTTTAGGAAAATGTACTGATTGTAAATATTTATCTATATCCATTCCCTTTATATTATCACTTGAGTATAGTTTTGTGTAAAAATCTAAAAAACTCTTTTTAATCAAATGCTGCTGAAAAACTTCAGTACCTTTATATTTTACTTTCTCTATAATCCTAGCCTTCTGTTTCTTTCGTAACTGATAAGCTAACCACCTCCCAGGCTTATTCACATTACAAAAAGTATTATGTCTCATATAACGCAAATTGGTAGCCACCTGATCTGCCATCAACATATTAAATTGTTCCCTAAGCATCTTTATAGAAACCTTTAAGTTATTATCAGTTGGATTAAGAGCAAGCGCTTCTTCTTTTATTTTAATCTCATCTTCTATTTCTCTACGTCTTTGTATCCTTTTATCCCTAGAAACTTTATTTAAATGAATTAAAATTCCCCTCATATACGCCTTGGTGTCCCAAACCATGGGCATCGATGTACCCTTATTCGTATTTAAAGCAAAAAACTCCTTTAAATACTCTTTACATTTTTGTACAAACTCTCCCCGGGTAAACAAATTCTCATTCAGTCTCCAAGGCCTTCTGTTCCCATCTTCCAAGTATAGCTCCATCCACACAGGACTATGGTCTGAAAGGGTCCTGGGAAAGATTTTTACCTTTCTCACCCTAGAAAGAAAATCACTAGTAATCAAAAAGAAGTCAATCCTTGAAAATGACTGGTGTCTATCCGAATAGAAGGTAAAATCTCTATCACTTGTGTTCCTTTCTCGCCAAATATCAATAAGTTCCAACTCTTCTTTCAAATCAAAAAAAGTTTTGGGTAATTTAGTTTGAGTAAAATTTTTTGAAGAGCTCTTTTTATCTATAGTTATATCCAAAACTCCATTCCAGTCACCCATCAAAATTACAGATTTATCTTCCCATGCAAAAGCTTATAGAATTGCTTCTGTTGTTGATTAGGGGCATATAATCCAACAATAAGAACTTTCTTGCCTTGTAACAGTAGTTCCACAAAGACATATCTTCCTTCAAGATCAACCTCAATTAATTTAGCCGATAAATTTTTCTTCACATAAATTACAACACCCCCTTTTTTCCCTGGAGCTGGAGCTATAAAATGTGATCCCAAATGAGAATTTGTCAAATATTTTGAGTCCTTTGAAGTTATGTGAGTCTCTTGCAAACATATCAAGTCATTATTATGTTGTTTTAAATAATAGAAGACCTTTCTCCATTTCTGAGGTGAATTTAAGCCATTAACATTCCAGGTCAGGAACTTGGCCATCTACACCGGCCTGAAGCCTTTGAAGCATAGCCTGAAGATCAACTGTCGAAGATCTTTTAGGTCTTGCCCCTCCCACAGGCTCTGCAGTAACCATTCCTACTACTTTATCGCCACTGTTCTGCTGCTGCTCTTTTTCTTTGCATTTATGGGCAGCTCGTGTCATCCTTTGATCTTTTATCTCAAGATTCTGTACAGGCAACAACACCGCTTGTTCCATGATCATCAATGAGGAAGCTCAATTATTCTTGTTTGTGGAGGTGAAGACGGTCTTGCCTTTAGAATAGAGTGATAGAAATCTCTTGCCTTTAAAACTGTAATTAATCTGTAACATATTCCATCATAATTCACTACTATTCCTCTTGGAATCTCCCATCTGAACTGGATTTGACGACGTTTTAACTCATCAGACAGAAAAGTAAAATCTTTTCTACCTCTTAAAATTTTTGGAGGTATTTCTTTTAAAATTATCACATATTGAGCTGCAATTTGAAACCTCTTTTTATAAAAAACCTATATAATTTCATTACAAGTAGATCTTCTGGAAAAGTAAATAACCACATCTCTTGGTAAATTTCTCTGTCTGGCAACCCGTGAGTTGACTCTGAAAATTTTTTCTATCTCATTCCCAACTTCTTCTGGTCTCCATCCAAGATTAAAAGCAATATCTCTAACAATAAGCATCTTCAAATCTTCCTGGGAATTTTCTTTCAATCCCCGGATACGCAATGCGAACTCCATTTCTCTATATTGTGAAATAGTTTGTTCATCCTGTGTAGCTTCTATCTTATTCTCCACTTCCTCCATTCTAAATTCCAGTTTTGCTGCATTTTCAGTAATCTCTTCCATCTTATCGTCAATCCTTTCAATATGTAGGGCAAGACCAGAAAACGCAAATAATATGTCTTCTCTGACTTGCTTGTTCTTTTTCTCCAATAATTCTTCTGTAATAGCCCTCTCTGCAATTATAAGATCTTTTACCTCCTCTTTAATATCCAAAGCAGTCATTTTTAAAGCCTCTTGTAAGTCTTTGAGAGAGATTGCAGGAGGAGGAGAGGGTGGGGGTGATTTTGGTTTAGACTGAAAAGCAGGCTGAGTCATTGGGGAGGAAATAGAAGCTTTAGGGACAGAGACCAAGCGTTTTGAAGCCATTCTGTTAAGTTCAAAGGAGCAACAGTTCTTTAAATAATAATAAAAAAAAGAGAGAAAGAGGAACAAAATTCTTGCCTCTATATTTAAAACATGAACTTTTAACTTTGTTGCAAAGTCAAACAAGAAAGACAGTCGCCATTTTCCTTTCACTTTCCCTTTCTTCAAAAGGGAAAGTAAACAAAGAAAAAAAAAGGGGGGGGGAAATGCTTGCAGGAGTTAAAGTCACAATCAATCTTAAATCCACTTTCTCCTGGTCTGCTCCGTCTGCATTTGAATGTTCACAGGCCTCCCAAAAAAGCAGATGTGGGAGCGGCGCCTTGCTTCATCACAGAACTTCAGGACAAAGACGTCCTGGAGTGCGGAGTTGGCTCAGGCTCCGAGGGAGCTCTACCCTCCGATCCCTGAAATTATGGGGATCCAGGGGAGCTCTTACCTCTACCTGAGCAGCTCTTCTCTTCCCTTTCTCCCAGGGAAGAGATTCAAGCCGCAGAACAGCTGATTGTCAAAGTCCTGCGGCTTTTACACAACCCAGGGACGGGCTGCTTTGTGAAAAGCAGCCATCGTAGCTGCTTGATCACACTGGAAGCCCCCAAACTTTTCTAGTTTTAGAACTTTTACCTCTGTTCAACAAGCATAACAGAGCTGAAGAAGCTTCTTGAATGAGAAGCGAAACATCTTCAAAGAAAAACAAAAAAGTCCAGTTGCCACATGAAAATGCATCTTTGGGATAAGCATAACAGAGATTTCAGTAGAAATGGAAATCCTAATTCTAACTCAAATTAAATTAAACCAGAAGTAACCACTCCTTCCCGTTCACTGTTAAAAAATCACTGACTGTTCCTTCTTTGAGTGTTCAAATTTATTTCTCTCATTCAAATTTGATAAAAATTCTCTATCAATTGCACTATGTAAAAGTTCTTGGTAACCTGTTACATTTTATAATGTTAATATTTATTTTCCATTTTTAAAAAATATTTAAAACAATGGAAAAATCAGCAAATCCAATTACTTTTTATTAAAAGCTTCTACCATATATTCAAATTTATGGTTTCCATCTCAGGAATCCATTCAAACCTTAGGAGTTTCATTTAGGGGTGAATGGAATTTGTACGTTTTTGTTCTGTAAAATGTACCTCGGCCCTTCTCCCCAGTTTTTCTTTTAACTTAAAATATTTTGCTTTAGTTTCCAACAAACCTTAAATATTTATAAGACACTGTTCTTTCCTAAGAAAAAGCCCTGCCTGCCTTCAGTTTGCAGTCAGGAAGATGACTGAGCCATTCCACTCAGTTGCATGGAATGTTGGAAGCTTTTATAGTTATTGCAAGGATAAAATTGCTGATCACTCCAAATTTGAAGGTAGGTAAAGTTGAAATTGTATCTGAATGGTCAAAATGCAAGAGCCAAGGAGTATTCTTGGAGTTGGCACTGGGCTTCTCAAGTTTTTGCTGGGAAGAGTGTCACTTTCTGCATTTGAACTTTGGTAAGCTAGCTAACTTTGTGAAGACTGACACAAAAACTTATCAAAAACATATTCTGGTAACAGTGAATCTTATAAATGAAAATACAACACTTATAATAAGAAAACATAAGTCTCAGAAACCTCAGTAAGTGCAACTTACAAGGAGGAGTCTTTCCAAAATTCCTACAGCCCTCAAAAAAAGTGTTATGACTACAAACTCACATGTGTTGAGGGGCATTACTATATGAACCATGTTCCAGCTTCTGCCACTTGCCCAAGTGAGCAGCTGATCTGTGTAGCAAATCACAATACTTGGGAGGAAGCAGTTGTGTGGTGAGCATGACAAAAGCATTGATCCAAACCATGATGAGGTGCTCACATGACCAGCGCATATCATAATACTGAGTGCTCTGTAAGAAACCAGAGAATAAATTAATGAGAGCATCCCAACTACCTCAGAAGCAGTAAGATGATGTTCTGCAATAATACACATATAACAATTTCTTTCTCACTCCTATGGGGCAGTATTTATCTTCCTCTATCTCAGGTCTTCTACCAGAGATTTGCGAATGTGAGGGTCTTCACAGTATCTTAAGTCTTCCTAGCACAATACTCTTCTGGGGAGAGAGCTCTGATGTTGTTCCTGGGATTTGTTGGAACCACTCTCCCAGCTGAGTCATAGATCCAAGTGCTCCCTCCTACCCACCACTGGGACCATTTTGGCCTTGCCTTTCAACATCCCTTCCAATTCCTTTTTCAGGCCGTGGTAGTTACACAATTCCTTATCAACTGTAAGGATAGTAAACTAGGGGAGCTTGGGCATTTCTTTCTTGCATATTTTAATGATTATATACATTGGCTGCACTCTTGTGTTACAACTCCTATGTAATTCCCTGAGCTTTCTAGAAAGTGTGTCCTTATGGATTCCATAGTAAAATGATATTCAAAATACGTTGTTATTCAAAAATAGAGAATTAAATTAAACAGTGTAAGTCCTGTATTTCTGCCTTTAGAATTATTCTGAACAGCTTCTGAAATCTATGAAATGATCTCATTATTTTCCCCAATTCTAATTGGATTGATTTAAAGTCTTAGTGCTGATAATCTGGATATTGTCAAATTATGATCTGAACTGGGCACCAAGTGTATATTATGGCACAAAATAGAATCATGTTATAATTGTCTTGAAAAAGAGCACAGGGTTAGTAAATGGGATGGAAAAAAGACTGGGAAAACCACAGGGGCACTACATGTATGGCAATACCTATCCTCCAACGGGGAGCAATACTAGGGCACTCCAGATGCAGCTACACTCCGCCATCCAGGCTGCCAAAGGGGAGACAGAGAAAAGGGGAATTAACCAGAAGTCCATTGCCCCAACAATCTACAGGCAAGATTTAGGAGGTGGAGTGGCACTAATAATAATAGTAAAGTAATACAAGAACAGCTACCTTCACAAAGCATAATGGCAGAAATGCCACATAGTAGGCACTGAAGAGGGAATTGAATAGAACTTCCTTGATTCGGCGGTTAAAGTCTGCTTTGAGGCCCTCCACTTCATTGCGAATGAGATCTGGGGACAAGGGACAGCTGTGCGTTGGAGTGGTCACAGAGGGGTTGAACTGTTCTTTGACTGATTCTCTCAGGAGAGAAAATAGATCTTTGGGCTTCACAAGACTGCCAACCCCTGAGGCACTATCATCCACTAGTTGATCCTGCACTAAATAGCTGCAGTCTGTTGAAAGAGGCTGGTTTCTACTATCTTGGTGGAAGCAGCACAATGGAACATAGACACCAAATCTGAAAAAAGGAAAAATGACAGGGTAAAATTATAATCTGTGACATATCCCATCTATGAATATCAGATAGAATCTTCTATCAAGGAGAACTGTAGCTTCTCAGATAATTATCTCATTTTTCTATTCAATTTGATATGTATTCTCCCTCTTTATCTTGATCTTGTATGAAGCTGATGGACTGAGTGTCTCCTGATTAATTAAAGTTTGATGTATAATAGACATTAACAGGAAAAATTGTTCTGAAACAGGCAAATCTTCCCTTATGATTTTTCCTCAAAAATTCAAGAACTAGCTTTGAAGCCATTGTTCTATACTCAGACTTCATTGGTCAAAAGTGTTCATTCAGGACAAAAGGTAAGGATACTTACGGGTAGCCAAGAAAGAGGAGATTGAGGACAGAATGGCTGCGGAAGAGGTTGACCAGAGTCCAACAGAGCACCCATACACAAAGGGTGAGTAGAACTAGACGTGCCAGAATCAATACCATATCGTGAATCATTGATGAAGTACCCACCTGCGAGGCCTGTAGAGTTAAACCCAGAATTCCATCAGCTCCACAGTCTTCCCTCATATCCCACAAATGTTTCAAAGATGTTCTGGTTCAGAGCCAAAAAAAAAAAAAAAAAAAGCTGGACATGGGAATGTATTCCTTCAGCTGCCAGCAATAATTTCCTTGCTTTTCCCTTCTTTTACTACTAAATCTCAATCAGGTTTGCCTCTACTTTGTTTCATATGCGAAGCAGAACAGTCCTACTTCATTCTATCTGCAGGCCAAAACTTTCAAAACATACATGCTCTGAATTTGGGCATGGACCACATGAACCTCAGCTGTACTTGGAATAATTTCATGTTTTAAAGTTGGAGATGAGAGGGGAATTTAATTAGTAGAATAAGTACCGTAAGAACCGCTTTAAAAAAAAAACACGCCAATTTCTTCCACTAGAAAACAGAAAACCCCCAAAGAGTTCCAAACATTTCAGTCCTGCTCACTCTGGTGAAGTCAACACTTTAGAGTGAAATGCCCTGCAGATTCAAGGCAGGACAGTGTATCCCGTCCTATCCCACAAGTATCATCTTCAAGCAAAGAGTGCCTACTTCTGCCATAAAATAAAACTGAGATTCAAATACTGCAATTGTGATAGACAGTGTATTCAATCCTATCTGCATTACAAAGTGGCTTGGATTTGGGGGCATGAAGCCCATCTCAAAATGCTTGCACAAAGAAATAACCTTTCATACAGACCTCTAGGAAACACTTTCATCCTTACCAGAAAAACATCTTATTTGTAGTCTTGAAAAAATTACCTTTCTGTAAACATGATTAGACTTAAACATTTACTCCTTCGATCAATGTAGTATTGTGCACAATCAATATAAACCGAGAACAAACCCCACTCTTTACTAGCAGTGATGATATTACCTAGTTTGGGTAATGAAACATATTTAAGAAAAGAACCAAGCTCAGAGAGCACCAAGGGCCCCTACAATCAATGTTGCCTGAAATAACTTGAACTTTGCTCTACATGCTGCTTTAATGGAACCTACGGGCATTGTGTACTGTGTAAGTTACAATCAGCTATAACTTGGGATACTTTACAAACATTTATCCCAAGCAAAGCAGCTTCACAAGTAATCTGGTAACTAATTTTATTATAGGTAGTCCTTGGCTTGTATTCATTTGTTCACTGACAGTTCAGAGTTACAGAGGTGCTGAAAAAAATGGATGTAACCAGTCCTTGAGGTTTTGGTTATCGCAGCACCCTCGCAGTGATGTAATCACAATCCAAGTGCCGGGCTACAATTACAACTTTACAGGGAACTGTACTTGTGACTGCCATTTGTGACCTCTGCTGGTTTCCCATAAGGCAGGGGTGTTAAACTCGCAATGTCATTTGACATGTTGTGACGTATTGCAACTTTTTTTCCCCATTGCCTGCAATGGGGTGGGTGCATGATACACCCGGCCCACGGGCCGGCAGTTTGACACCCCTGCCATAAGGAAATCAATGGGGAAACTGACAAGAAAGATCACAAGTTACTCTGGTAAGTCACTCTGACTTTTCTTTTGCCCAGAGTAACCCCCTCCTCCTGTGCAGACTTTGCTGGTTCTCCCTTGATTCGTGCATGTCCTGCACTGGCTCTTCCAGGTCTCCCATACCCATTGCATGTGTGCTTACCTGAGATTCCTGCCTCTTCCCTCTTTAAGAACCCATGGGTCTTGGGGTTATGACAGCAATCAGGAATGTCCAGAATTGCTGTCACTAAGTGGTGAGATCACATGATGTTATGCTTTATGACTGCACTGCTCAGCAATAGCAATCTTAGTCCCAATTGCTGTCATAACCCAAGGATGACCTGTAACATTTAACACTGAGAGATGTTTTATTGAAGGTGGATAAATGAAAGAACTACAAAAAAAAAGAATAAAAATGGGACATACTAACTCATTCAGAGTATCTTGAAACTAGAAAGATTATCATCATCATTACCTCAGAGATGAGGGCCCATACAAGCCTCCGTGCCAACATCACTGTGATGAATGCGGCCAGGTGATAATCAATGAGGTGAAAGTTCTAAAGGAGAAAAGAAGAGGGTATTCACCAGTGTGAAGGAGAGGCCAGAAAAGCAGGAGATGCTGAGCTGATATAGTAGAAGCATGGAAGTTCCTATAGGGAAGAATCAGGAAACATTGTGAATAACTGCCAGTCAGCCAGAGAAGCAGGGAAGAGAAAGGGTCATGTTAAGCATGTTCAGATGCAAAGAAAGCATTAGACTAACAAATACCACACAGAAAACACAGAAATGGGCATTCTATATTTACATGTATAATTCCATTCTTTAAGAAGCAAAATAGCTAGCACAGACAAAAATGCCCCGATAAGGATATCAGTCTCATGTAATTGTGTGAAAAGGGGCTCATTCCCCCTTCCCAATCTCTAGATGCTACAGTGAACTTGCCCAAGATAAAAAGTAAAAAATCCCAAAGAGTCATTAAACTGCTATAATCTGATGAACTCATTCCTACTGCAGGAAAACTTGGGACAGGCATGTGAGGAAAGAAGTTTGTTGAAGGCAGAGTGAACTGCCTTTACTTTTTTGATAAGCATAGAAGTTGACAGATCTAGAAGAAAAAAACCAACTGAAAAATTGCAGAAAAGCTTCACTGTTGCTCCAAAGCTGTCATCTTTGCTTGTTTATTGTTTCTGCTTTTAGAAAGTGTTTCAAACACATTATTTCACATTTCATCTTTTTATTATCATAAAAACATTTTATTATACTATTGTTTGAAATGTTATAGTGTATATAAATAAATAATAATTCTGTGTGCATTTAAGGGTAGGGATTCAAGGGTAACTTTACCTTTAGCAAAAAAAAAGTTAAAAAAAAGGACGTTAATAAATGATTATTCCAGAATTATCTGCCTCATACCTGTTATTATCCAAAGGCTGTTTGAGGAAGAAAAAGGTTTTTTAAAATAATATCTCATAAAACAAATTCATAACAAACAAACATATCTCCTCTTGTAAATGCCTCTCCTAGAAATTAACACAATCCTTCCCCTGGTGAATGAATCAGGAAGCCTCTGGAATTAACAAATTGCTGAAAGTTTTACATGATGATTTCACTATTACAGTTTTGGTCACCCTCTGCTCTAAGCCAGATTCTTGAAAAATAAAACAGTTTTGCTGGAAGAAAACTTGGAATACACTCAACTTTATATACCTGGAAACCATTCAGCATCTGCCATCTCATTCAAAAGCAGAAAGAAATATAAGGTTGTTTCTTTTAGAATGCAAAATTGGGGCATGAATATATTTTTTTTCTCTGAGTCAATAACGTTCCTTTTCCAGAGGGTCATAAAATTATGATGTATTTCTGCATTAGTAATAAGATCTCTAATACTGTATTTAAAAATGAAATGAAATTTTAGAGGTATATTAGATTTCTATACAGCATTTCAATGCACCATGGGCAGTTAGAAAAAAATAAAAAAATGGAAAGAATTTGCAGATAAAAGTGTCAGTATCTAATGAACTGAAATTTGGAATGTTCAGGATGTAACATTTTATGCAAAAATTTAGACACTCCATAGTCAAACTGTACATTTCAATAAACCCTTAACTAAACAAAACCAACAAAACCATTACATGATATATTTATCTGCAAATTTGAATGCACATTATTTTTTGTGTACACTGTTTGAATAACTTGTACATATGTTCACAAACTCTTTAAAAATAATATGATAGTTTTCAGAAATCTTCTAGTCAATACTTTGTAATACCGTATATGCCGGCGTACAAGGCGACCCGGCGTATAAGACGACCCCCGTCTTTGTCACTGAGCCGCATTCCTAGAACGTCGTCTTATACGCCGGAAACTACCAGTATTTCCGGCGTATAAGACGACCGTATTTGGCACCGAGTTTAGCGCTTATGGAAGTCATCTTATACGCCGGCATATACGGTACCTCCTTTATAGAAATACATTTTTCAAAGGTTTCCTGTAGTCAGTTAAAAGCATTTTTCATTGCATTCTTCACTATAGAGTTCTTCTTTCTCAGAAAAACTCTTGGTTCTTCTTGTTGACACTGAATGTTTGAAATCCCCTATGTTCAAGTCTATGGACCTGTCTCTTTTTTCCTGTAAATACTTTATAGTATGTTTTAGATTACTGTCTTGCTGAAATATCCAACTTATTTTCAGCTTCAATCTCTGATTCTGAGCTATTAGCTTTTAGGACGTGGTGATATCCATGGTGGAATGTATTCTTCCTTCTTCCTGCAGAGTATTTCTTATGACACTGACTACCATACAGCCCCAAATTCCCATCTTCATGCATAAAGCTAGGCAAGGGGTTCATTTTTTTCAAATCTTTCACCCTGCTTTTTCCAAATACATTTCTCCAAATATATCAATTTCTGTTTCACCTCTCCCAAGTACTTTATTCTAAAATCTTTCAAGTTTAATCAAGGGTTATTTTTGCAGACAAAGTTTGTGATGATGTTAGAGAAAAGATTGTCTTCTCACCACTGTGTTGGTGATCAATGTTTAGAGTCTTTTTTAATAGCCTTCCTCTGCTTTCTAAAAGTTATTTTCATTTTCAAATGGCCAATTGCCTAGAGAATACCATCATGATCATGGTATCTCTCCTGCCAGTAAATATACTATCACTGTTGGGAGCTTCAGCTGAAAGCAAGCAAAACCATCACAACCTGAGAGGCTAGAGATTGTATGTTTACATAACAGCTCTGGTTCTTTAGCAAAAGAAAGAGACAATATGGAACAATAAAAAGGCTAGGTGATTTCTAGAAAAGTCAAAAGTGTACTGACTGGACTTATCAGCTCATAAAAAATATGTATTCTAGAAGCAGAGCTCACAGAGAACTTCCAAAAATTTTGTTCTGCAGATCTTCTCACCTTTCCAGTTCATAAAATGTGACTAGAGAAGAAAAGTATGGTGATACTGTAGAGAGCATCTGGGTTAAAATAAATAAAAGAATGTCTAGTGACTAATTACTCTGACGCTCATAGCAATAATCCATCCCAACAAATATCCTAGAAAACAGATTAAATGCCAGACAATTAGAAGAAATGAAAATAATAGCTCCAAGGAACTCCACATCTCTCTGCATTGCCTTTCTGTCTGCAGCAATGATGCTTCCAAACCAGACTGTAATGCAATATGACAGGATGCTCTTGATCGTCTTTCTATAAAAAGTGGTAAGGATAGGGGAAGGAAGATGTACTTTTCTCATGTGATGCAGAAAATGCAGGCGCTGCTGTGCCTGCTTCACTGGTATCTCGCTGTTGAGTGATCAAGCCAGCCTATTCATTAGCTGCACACCCAGAAATTTGAGGCTGCTGACCATCTCTATAGGTGAATCATTAATACACAGAAAAGTGTGACTATGTCTGCCTTTTCTGAAATCGACAATTATCTCTTTAGTTTTCCCAATGTTTAAAATATATGTATTGAAAGAAAACTTTAAAGTTGTTTTGTATTTATAAAATGAGTTTGTAAATGTATATTTTCTGTCATTTTATGTAATGCTGACTAATTCCCAAAGTTTATAAAATACTATTGATCAAATTTGAAAACAAGAGAAGAAAAAGTTTTATCCCTTGAGGATAATTATATATAATATTTGAGTAATTTTTAAAGTTTGTAAAATGTCAAAACTAGAAAAAGCTTCTCCCTTCAGGGTTAGAATTTTTTTTTTGAAATAATATAGGGAATTCTTCCAAAATAAATCATGATAAAGATTAATTTGTAAACAGAAGAATAAATTATTCCCCACAGCAAAGAGAAGCAGAGATGGTCAAATTGATTCTTTTATCCAAAGAAGAGAATATAGTTAATTTTGTTTTCATTTGGAAATGGCTTCTGAATTTTGAGCTTGCAATGAAAAAAAAAATGAAACTTTGATTTTGTTTCTACTAATTAGATAGGTTTGTTGTTATAGAAATGGCTAGTATATATTACTGTGTAAAAGTAAAAAGGTGAGGTTATAATGTTGTTATCTTCTACTGTGCTAAAGAGAGTTGGAAGTCGGTGCCTTTTTCTTTCCTTTTCCTTCTTTACACCATGTTTTTTTTTCTTTTTCCCTCCCCCTCCTAGTTTATTACTTTTTTGAATTTCTCTTTATATTTTAAATTTTGATAAACAAAATGTGAGATTAAAAAAAAGTACAAGGCAAATTCTAATCTAATCACTTCACAAAATCTTAACTATGTGCATGTGTGTATATAATACACGCACACACACAATCACAGTTAGCATTCTGTGTTCTTTTTTTCTATACACATACATGTAGTTAGCATTTTGTGAAGTGATTAGATTTGAATTTGTCTCACTGTACAATTTTTAAAGTGGTAAAGGAGTTTAAAAGTGGATGAGAATGAACAAGCTATTAGCTCAAGTGAGATATAGTATACTCAAAATACTGCATACATTTTACAACCATGCTGTCCAAAATGTGAAACTCCTTCAAATACTTCCTTCTGTAAGATTTTGAATTATACCGATGTCAAGATACAAAAAATAGAGAAGTTTGTTGTTCCAGGTGCCAATCCTCATCATTTATTCAATTTAGTTCAACAGATTCAAATACATTTCTGAACCACGTACACTTAATAGAAAGGATATGGCATACTTTAACATGAAGAAACTTTCAAGAAAGAAATACTTCCTGGTCTGCTATGTCAACAATTTGTTTAATGTGACAGGGAAGACAAAGAAGCAACTGCAACTGTACAAATTGCCCAAATCTTTTAAAAGCAACAAATATTCATTATTTATTTATTATTATGACTTAAATATTTATGAACCAATAAACTAAGCTAAAATAGAAACAATTAAAATGTTACATTATTATAAAATAAATTTGGAAGCAAAATCGAAGTTTTTCAATTAGGACAAATTAGTGTGTGTGTGTGTGTCTGTCTGTGTCTGTGTGAGCACAAGATATATATATATATATATATATATATATATATATATATATATATATATATATATATATATATATATATATATGTTTTCTGAGGTTTTCGCGGGTATTTGCATGTAG